GCTTTCTTTCATCCTGCAAATGAACAAACTATTTTGGTTGTCCTTGCTGGTGGGAGGTGTATCCATTGGATTAGTCAAGGTGCATGCAAGTCGGCCTGGACACACCGCTGTTCTAAAATAAAAAGTAATTTCAAGTTGTCCTTTGCTGCCTGAAAATGCTACCAAAGGATTCCATTTTAGTATTAGAATAACCTCAAACCGTGCTACCTCTTAAAGTGTATTGTGGGAAAAGGACAGGATAATACAAGTATTCCGTGGCAAAAGTATATAAAGGATGTAAGGTATATTCTCTTCTGTCTACCATAGGGCCAAGATTCACTTTCTTGTACGTCTTTTGCAGTCCTTTTATAATGGAGTGTTTGAAGGAGTTTTATGCCTCTTATGACGACGCACAATTGAGGTGGAATGGAGCTGATCTTCTGACAAGAGTTGCTAGTAACTTTTCTGGCAATGATAATCTCTCCGATAGAACGATGGAGGTCAAGTTTCAACCCTCTTTTCTTATCTTCCCTATCGGTCATAATAATATTACCAGGTACAGACTTTACTACCTTTCCGTCTCTAGTTCAAAAGTATAAAATGTGGTACTTAGGATTGTAAATGCTTAAATTTATTAGTGAAAGATTTATTATTGTTATTTCAAACTTTTAATTGTTAGCCATATTAACATTACCATTTCAAAAAAGAAATTTAGTCATATTAACATTATTGCCTTTTTTCCTTTTCTTGCCATGATAGGTAGCGTCACAACTAAAGTTATTGTGATTATTGGTTGCACTTATGGTCATGATGTTATTACTGATTTGGTTAATATATACTGCTCTAACTAGAGTTATTGGTTGCACTTATGGTCATGATGTTATTACTAATTTGGTTAAAATATACTGCTCTAACTAATGCATAATGGTGACGTCATATAACTTTGTTGAGTCTTGTACTGAAAGAGAGGAGCATTAGTTTAGCCCCCTTACAGCATAAGCAACACTTTGTTTCAGTAATGCTGCAAAATTTTAACAACATAACAGGTAATTTCAATATTGATTTGAATTTTGATATTTTTCCTAAATCAGGAGTCAATGTTTGACCTCGTAAAATATTGATTCGTGCAGTTTAGCACTAATAATATTTTTAAATCCCCGACGAAGTATAAGCTAAAGGGAAAAAACCGATGGCGTCCAATCCTACGCCTCTAAGTGAAGCGTAGACGGTTGTTAGCAATAATAAACCCAACTAGGTTGGGGTCGAATCCCACAAGGAGTGTGTGCTTAAGTGTTTAAAAGTGTGCAACCTCGATGTTTCTTAAGTTTATCTTCTAACAAAAGAGTGGTGATCAGTTATGACTAACTTTGAAAGAGCACGTAGAATGCAAATAAAGATGAGTTTTCTAATAAAGAGAAGGATCAGGGTTGCAACCTTAATATGGCATAATTAGTTCATGGGTGTCTTTAATCTTGCCTAAATACTTCGTATTAGTGATTATGATCCAATTGGTAGCTGCCCACTAGAATTTTCCAACTATAACCAAGCTTTTCCCTAAAAAGTTCTTTCAAACCCAAAGGAATTCAATAAGCCCCAATTGATAATGACCCAAGTAGAAATTTTCCGATTCCGAGTTTGATTTTATTAATCAAGCTTCATTAATTCCTTCATAAGCTCCAATCCTTGCTACTTGTTGACTACCCAATCTAATTTTCACATTTCCAAGTAAGAATTAGATAAAAAGGGCTCAATCTGGTGTTTGCAACCACCAAATTAACAATAAAGCATGGAAACAAGTAGATAATCACAATCCAAGTAATAATAAGCAAGATGAACAAAGATCCATTCATATTAGAGTTTATAATCTAGCTATGGAGCTTAGCTACTCATACTAGAAATGGAAAATAAGAGTTGAGATGATAAGATATACATAATTAAGACTTAAAAGAGTAAGAAAATCCAAACAAGGTGTTGTTGATCTTCCAATCCTTCCCAAATTAGCTAAAGGCTACTAAGGAGTAAAAATGAGAAGCAAAGATGACCTAAAAATGACCTGAACTTCTATATATATCAAGTCCCAAAAGTGGACAAAATTGCCTTTGGTTGGCCCCACCTAGCTTCAGATTCATGCTTCACGTAGGCTACTTTCTTCAGGGCTTCACGTAGGCTACGTGAGCTTCAGCTTCTTCAGGTGATTTTTTCCCATGTAGGCTGCGTATGTAGGCTGTGTGCTTCACGTAGGCAAAACCAGAGCATCCCAGTCTTCAGCTTAATCCCATTTTCCAGGTACGTAGGCTACTTGCTTTGCATTGTAGGCTACGTAAATTTTTGGCCTTCAGTTACAACTTCAATTCTTCCAATCGTTCACTTGGACTTGGTCTTTTCTTGTTTTTTTCCGTGGGCTGAAAATGTTCGGGACACCCTAGACTGGGCAACTTTTGCTTAGTTCCCCCTTAAACTTTTTGTGGTCTTTAATACCCATACCCATAANATCTCGTTGTTTCTTCTTAAGATGGATTGCATATTTTTCCCAATTGTATTTTTTTTTAAATACAATGAATATATATTACTATGTATTTCGTATCTTTTTCCCGGTCCAAATCTATAAAAGTTAGTTGAAACTTCATTTATTTTAGCCAAATAAAAAAAAGATTTAGCAAAAGTAATGAAGTTCAAATAGTATATTTTCTACAAAAAGAAAAAGTACTGTATACTTTTATTTTTATTTCATGCAATGACTATTTAGTTAAATTATGCATTTTTCTTTTTTGAGTCGAATTCACAAATATTTGGTCGAAATTTTATTATTGTAAGCTAAAAATTTAGCCAATATATGGAGTTCCAACAACATATTTTTTTATTTTTTTATACTGATAATATGTTTTTTATTCCAACATCATAATGATAATATGTTTTAAATGTGTATTCCTTCTTTTCCTGTCCAAATATATAAAAGTAACTTGGCTAAACATCATTATCTTTAGCCAAATAAAAAATCATGGTCAAAATAACGTTGTTTCAAGCTTTTTTATATAGATTTTGGCACGAAAAAATGATTTAAATAGTTGGTGGATTTAAAAGATAAAAATACATATTTTTTTTGTAAAGAAATGCCACACGGACAAAAAAATTCCATGTGGGAGCTCGTGTGTCACACTCCTAAGGATTGTCAGCTTCCGGGGGGGTCGAGGCTATGAAATTGCTAAGTTTAAGGGGTATTAATGACCACGTGAAGTTTAAGGGGGAACTAAATAAAAGTTTCCAAGTTCGGAATCTGCCTTTTTCCATGTTTATCATTCTCAAAGCGTCCACAACTCCATGATCCTGAAAATACACCATTCAAAACATAATTACTCAACTTATTCCAACAAATGGGGCATAAAACTCTATAGAAACACTAGAAGTTAGTTAAAAAGCTAACTAATCAAAAACTTTGGCTGTCTAATATCTCATACAGTGAGCTTCAGCAGCATCCGAACATGTCATGGTTTTTGTAACCAAACAGCAACATCTGCTTATTTTTCTTCTTATTTCTTGCTGGGATGATAATCCAAAACACAGGGGGTTATAGACAAAAATATGTACCAACTCTCCCTTTTCCTTTGGCAGATATTTCTCAGCACCAGCAACGGAGAGTGAGAAAGCTGAACAAGATATGCTATTTAAAACTATCCTCAAAGAAGCAGTCACATTTCACTTTTGGAATGGCTTAACTTCAGCTATGGTTCCAGAGCCTGAGAGCCTTGCATACCAGATCATTAATTACAATTGCCTACATTGCTCTGAAGAATTGTGAATCACTTGCAAAACCATTAAAGCAGATAGATGGCCTTATAAAACATTTTAGTTTCATGCCATTAGATACCTCACAGCTTTTAAAGAGATTCGAAAGAGTGTCAGTTATGAAGATGTACATTCGAAACATGTTGTTTTCCATGAAGAAAGGCCAAATAAACATGAATCTATAGTTGGTTGAAGGCTTCTGGACCTCGTGTTGTTAGTCTATTAGTTGGTGTAGATTCTCTCAAAGGAGGATTAAGAGATCCCACTTTTTATAGCTGAGATCTTTTTGTATATTTGTTTCCCTTTGATTTTTGTAGTTCTCACTTCATCGATGATTCTCTTAGTTTAATCCAATGTTTTGTACAACTATTTGTAGCCATTGACAACACAACAATCATATATTTTTGTGATGTTTCTTTTAAATTATTTCTACATCTGCAGCTTCACGTCATTTCTTTTCTTTCTCTCATCTCATGTAGACTGCCATATATCGTCAAAACCTGTCACATTCCATGCCTTATAAAACATTTTTAATCTCATGTCAGTACAACCTTAAAGAGATTCAAAAGAGAGCTCAAAGTTGTGTGGTATCTCTCTTTAAAGAGATTCAAATGAAGTTGCACATGAATTTTACTTTTTTGATTTTTTATTTGAACGTTATATATTAGAAATACCAGGTTTATACGATATAACCAAATTTAATCTCATTATTTGGAAAATATAGGAATGATGGTCTGATTCCACCTAGTGTTGACTAGTGACAAAACTGGACCTAATCTTTTCAAGTGAGCAGAGAGCTTCTTCTATGCTAGTTCTTGCAACTAGAGTGCAGCTCAAAGCTAATTCCATGATAGATAACATACACTGCATCTTTGCTATGATCCACTGGCTGTACCAAATTAGCATCCACCACCTTATGAAAAGAATCACTAACCCAACAGTCGTATGCTCATATTTCATCACTTGTCTCATTCTTGTCCATCATCAAGATGCCAAAACTATAAACATCACAACTCGTGGATACTATTCTTCTATCTTGTCCATACTCTGACTCATGGTCAAAATAATTAGAAAAGCTTACCAATCTATATCCAGGGTAAAGAATTAATGTTTTGGGTATGAGGAAGCTTTAAAGTTATAATACCTGGAGCAATTAATATATCCAATGGTTGCAATTGTCCTAGTTTGAACAAAAGCGTCTCCTGCACCTAACAATTTCAGTGACATGGCCAACCATATCTTGATCTAGCAAGACATTGCTTGGCTTCATATCACAATGCACCACAGGTGTTGAATAGCCATTGTGGAGATAGTCCATTGCAGATGCAACATCTATCATTATATTTATCTCTGCAATAAATCCAAGAACAGGTTATGAGAGTATAGCCAGTGTCCCATTAGGCAGGTATTCCAATACTAAGGCTTTGAGAGCAACTAGTGATGACTTTGGTAAGATTTCGATGGCGGAGGTTTCTTAGCATCTCACATTCTGTGTCAAAACTTTTGAAAGCACCCTCTAATTGCACATTGAAAACCTTTGCTGCCAAAAGAGTACCATCCTTAAGTATCCCTTTATAGACCATGCCGAAACTCCCTTACCAAGCAAGTTGCTTTCACTGAATCCTTTTGTTGCTTGTTCAAGTTCATAATAGGAAATTCTTTCATGCCCTTTTACCATAGACACATCTGCTTGACCTGCATTCTTCTTTTTCTTTCGCAATCTTAAAAATACATATGCAAGGGCTAATGCAAGAAAAAGCAGTACAAAACCAAGATTGTCTTCTTCCTCTTTGACCTCTTGGTAGATTTTATGATACATGGTGACACATGAAACTTAGAATCACCACACAGAGCATTATTGGACAAGAAAGAATGACTTGTGAAATTTGCGAAAGGACCTCCAGTGGGAATCTCTCCACTGAGTTTATTAAAATGAGAAATTCAAGTATTTCAGATACACAAGAGCTTCTAATGACTTTGGAATTTCACCACTAAGATTGTTATTGCACAAATCCAAGTATTCCAAGGCCAGCAGTTTGCCAAATGAATCGGGGATAGGCCCGTCTAATCTATTATGTGCCAGAGAAAGTTTGATCAAGGTACCCTAAGATGTTGGGGATCTTACCAGGAAAATCATTTTTTGACAGATCGATGAGCATTGCAGCCTTAAATTTCCAATCTCTAGAGGAATTTCCCCACTGAATAAATTGGACGAAACATTGAATTCTATGAGATCTTGAAGGCTCCCTAAGCTTGCAGGTAATCTTGAATTCAACCTGTTGTTAGCTAGATAAAGTTTCCTCAAACTCTATGTTGTTCGGACTCTCCAAAAATGTCGTTGGGTGCGGGTCGGACCCTCCAAAAGTAGTACATTTTTGGAGGATCCGACATGGGTACGGCAACATTTTGGAGAGTCCGCGCAACATAGCTCAAACTGGTAACACTTCCTAAGCATGGTGGCACTGAACCAGAAAAATGATTTCCTGATAAGTCTAATGCACCAAGATTCTTTAAATTGCAGATAATATCTGGTATGGGTCCTTCTATCTTGTTGCTTTGCAGGTAAAGTTCTTGAAGGTTCAACATTCTTTGGATAGTATTTGGAATATGTCCAGCCAACTCATTGTTTTGCAGACTCATCATTGTCATTGTAGTAAGATTACCAATTTCTTCCGGAATGACGCCCTTCAGTTTACAACCCTGTTCTTCAAAAATTTGTGTAGCAGAAAAATTTCTAACTGATGCAGAAAAAACACCGTCCAACGGATTCCGATCAAATTTGAGTACTCTTAGTTCCCTACAGTTTGTGAGTGATGTAAAGAAGCTCAATGCTGAATCACTGAAAAAACTTATTACTCCCCAAGTGTAAAATCTCAAGATATTCTAAGTTACCAAGTGATTCAGGAATTGGATCTGTGAAACTATTCCATGAGATATCAAGTCCCGTGAGTCTTGAAGAATTTGAGATTGAAGACGAGATAAAACAGCTCAAAAGATTACTTGAACAAGAAAATTTTTCCTGGTTGGGCAGTCGACGGCCTAAATCTGAAGGTAGAGTACCTGAAAACCTGTTTCCTGCAAGTCCTATGAACTAGTTCCTTAAGAGGAGCACAATGCGAATATTTGGTAACAAACTTAAAAATGATGGAATGGCACCAGTAAAATTATTGCCTGTCACATTAACCAGTTTCACCCTTTGCAAATGAGCCAACTCTTCTGGCAACTCTCCACGGAGAGGGTTGTTACTAATGTCTAAAGCTGCGACTCTATGGTGGCGAGAGCTGCAACTGATTCCAATCCAGCTGCACACTGGACTGGAAGAAGACCAGTTAGTTGCTAAGATGTTGTTAGTATCAGAAGAAGAAATGTGAGATTTCAAGGCTATAAGAGCTGCTAGGGGTACATACGTCGGGTTGGTTCGGATTTTATAATTACCAAACCAAACCAATTGTGTCGGGTTATTAAATCTAAAGACCAAACCAAACCAATAAAACTCGGGTTTTTCAATCTTGGTTTTTCTCGGGTTTTACGGTTATTCGAGTTTTTTCCGGTAAAATCTTAGTAGAACAAAACATATAACTTTGTGCTCAAAATATTTCTTTAATCCTAGTAAGATACAACTATATAAAGTATTTTTCAAGAAAATAATACAAAATATGAGATGTGTCATGGCATTATCCTAAGACATTCAACAATAAAGACAGTAAAATTAAGTCATGCTAAAATAAGTAGACTAATAAAGGAGTATTAATTACATAAACGCTAAAGAAAAAATAAAAGTAGGTTATGCATTTTTATCTAAATTATTTCAAAACAAAAAATAGATATTCAATACATCCCCGTTCGTAGTATTGAATTGAATGTCTTTTGTTAGCATTAGTATTGGTTTGATTTTGGTTTCGGCTTTAGTTAGCATTATTTAATTTACTAATATTAATAGCTATAAAACTTATTGGAACATTCAAAAGTTCTAAGTCCAACTTTGAAATAATACCTTAAAAGATAAAATTATGAAAAATTTTAAAAAATATTTATAAATTACATCACAATATGTATATTTTTATATTAAATATATCTAAAATTTCTATATATGTAATGTCCGGTTGGTTTGGTTTCGGTTTGACTTTCTTTAGTTAAAACCAAACCAAACCAATTATGGTCGGATTTTTTTTTCCAACATCAAACCAAATCATAATCAATTTTTTCTCGGTTTGACTCGGATTATCGAATTAATGCGGTTTGTCGGTTTTTTTGTACACCCCTAAGAGCAACTTCATAAGTGCTGATATTGGGAACAATTGCCAATGAAGTATGGTCATTGATGACCCTACAGCCACATACAACATAGCTAGAATAGTATTTACAATGATAGGAACTGCTACTAATTAAAAAGCATAGGTCATTTTAATTAATCTAAAACTTTTCTCATATGTGTCGAGCACTATATTGTTCCCAAAATTAAACTTCACTAGTGTCAGAGACCCCGAAATCTCACCTTTAGGATCGTAATGATACCTGATTTCTAAGACTAGGTAAGCCTATCACATAGCAAGATCAACAGAACTAAACACCAACTTAAATAATAATGAAAGTTGAAAAGTGTTTTAACATAATCAAAAGCGGAAATACAAAGTCAAATAAATCTCAAAATGGTAGTACGAAGTCATAAACTCTACAGAGAGTACATGCGAAATCTCAAAATACAATACAGTCAAGTCTCTCTATAACATCCTCATTTGTTCCAAATATTTTTTGATGTTATAGCGAAGTGCTGTTATAGAGAACATATATTATAACATAACATAAAAATTGGTTCCAGAAAAGCTTGACTTTTATAGTGAAGTGCTGTTATATAGGGATGTATAGAGAGGTCTGACTGTACTGTCTGGAAACGCAATAAATAGTAGTAAGAAAATCAGCAGAAGGTGACTCCGAGGCCTGCGAGCAAGAACAACAGGTATACCTCGAAGTCTCCTCAATATCTGGCTCAACACACTAGCGACCGGCTCGATCCGAGGTACTTGGATCTGCACAAAAATGTACAGAAGCGTAGTATGAGTACACCAGAATCGGTACCCAGTAAGTACCAAGACTAACCTCGGTGGAGTAGTAACAAGGTTCAAATCAAGACACTCACTAAACATAAAACATGTGCAGAATATCAATATAAAGCTAACAACGAGAAGCGAAATCAATAAATGGCAACAAAGAGTAAGCATGTGATAACACAACAAATTAATCCAAACACAGTTAAAGTACAAGTGATTAATGAAAAACAATGACCGTTCAAATCCTCAAGCCGTTCCAACACAAGATTTACAACAATAATCACCCCGAGGTACCACACCTCATAATCATAATTCACGAGTCACAAATCACAAATTATCCCTTCGACATCGCGTGAGCTTCACATTTTAAAATATTTCCCCGAAACAACTTCACAAGTATAAGCCCCCTTATCTCGCCGCGTGTGCTTCACAATGAAGTATTTCTCCATATTAGCAACACACGCATAAGCCCCCTTATCTAACTGCATGCGCATCAATATACACACCACCCTTATTTCACCGTATGCACATGTCAGTCACAACATAACAATAACAACCACCCGCACCTCACGTACACATGTGCCACAACATCACCACAATAACAATACAATGCCACAACAAGATATAGTCGTGGCTCAACAATAATTTTACAAGAATTATCACAATAATATAAAGGTACGAGGAGTGAACAACAAAATAAAAACATGTTTCATATAACAAACAACTCCAAATCAAGGCATATTAATAGCCTAAGGCTTAATCCAGTCAATTACCACACATACGCCCGTGCACATACTCGTCACCTCATGTACACGTCAGGAAAAGTTTCTTCCACGTAAAGCTAGGCAAGATACTTACCTCAATCAAGATAAATCAATCCTTTAATAAACCCTTCCCGCGTTAATCAACCTCCGGACGGCTTGAATCTAGCCAAAATAACTTAATATCATAAGTAAAAGCTATAGGAAACGAATCCGAATAATAAAGCTTCTTTAAGTAAAATCAAAAAGTCAACCCCGGGCCCGCACCCCACAACTCAAATTCACAAATTCCGAACACCTATTCCGATACGAGTCCAACATCCAATTCCGACCTCAAATCGGCCTTCAACATTACTTATATACAATGTTACACTACATAAATATTTAGTGCATCTAGATACAGTTCTTAAGTTACTGAGTAGGGGGGCTACCATGTATTTGTAAAAAAAATCCAAGTGTTTATTTGCGCAGAACCAGGTTGATAGTATCTTGGTCATATCAGGCAATACATACTGATCCTTCTAAAATAAGTGCAACGATGAGTTGGCCTTTACATACCAACATTAGAGAATCTAGGGGAGTTTTCGTTAGAACATTTTACAATGCAAGTCGATGCTTCTAGGCGAGGGCCATTTTAATCCAGGACTATCACTCCATTGAATACTCAAGTCAAGTACTCAATACTGATCTTTTGACAAGAATTGCTAGTAACTTTCTGCCAATGGTAATTTATCAGGTAGAACGATGGAGATCGATTTTCCACCCTCTGTTCTTTTCTTCGCCATCTGTCATAATAATATTATCTAGTATCAAACTTGACCACCTTTTAGTCTTCAGTTCAAATGTATAAATAATGTTAAAAAGAAATTATGACGCGGCTGAGTGTTATGAGGAGAAGCATTGACGCTCCTGTTAGGGGGTGTGAGAGGTTAATCATGACGGGTTTGAGAAGACGTTGAGGCAGACTTAAGAAGTACTGGGGAGAAGTGATTAGGCAGGACATGACGTGACATGACCCTTGATAGGAGGTTGTGGAGGTCGAGTATTAGGGTAGAAGGTTAGTAGGTAGTTGAGAGTTTTTCCTTTTCTTACCCGTAGGACTAGTAGCACACATGGAGCATCGCTTGGCTTACTCGGTATTGGAATTGGCTTGTTCAAGGTAAGTAACTCTTCTAAACTTAGTGCTGAGGGTATGAAACCCCGAATTATGTGCTATGTGATCGGTGTTGAGATGACGCACATGCTAGGTAATGGGTGTGTGGCTGTGTACAATGTGAATTGTGACTCCATTGTTTTTGTGGTACTGTGTAGTTACCTGATCTTACCTGTAACCATGAAATTTCTAAGTACTTCAGCTATTGAGCCGTGATCCATGCTAGAATTCATGTCTAGGCTACATGCTTATCCTATTGGGACCCACTGAGCTCATTTCTGCTGTTGAGTTATCTGCTTCATTGCATTATATACTCACTCATACGCATTCATATGCATATCATATCTCAGTCTCTGTTACTATTTATTGATACAACACATCATTATTTTTGGGCTGATATTTCATGACATTGAGAGCTCGAGAGATTGGAGAGATTGATGACTGAGTGAAGCCGAGGGCCTGATAGTGAGGATATATATATGGGATCGGGCTGCACGCCGCATAATGTTTTACTAATATATGCCATGATTGGCTTGTTATAGCGCTTGGGCTGAAGGAGCCCTTCCGGAGTCTATACACACCCACAGTGAGTGCGAGTGCCGAGTGATTGGGAGGATAGAGTGACTGTGAGGACTGAGTGGCTGTGAGGATAGAGTGATTGTGAGGACTGAGTGACTGTAAGGACTGAATTACTTGGAGGACTGAGTGAATTGATACTCTGAGTATGCATATGGTTTTATTACTGAGTAGTATCACATTTGACATGCACATGGCATATCGACATAGAGTTGTATTTTCCTCATGTCGTACGGTATCACGTCATTCATGACTTCTCACATATATTGACACATGTGCATAGAGAGTTATTTTGCACTTGCTATCTGGGGAGAACATGAAACATCATATTTACTGTTGACAGGATTTTTGGAAAAAACTCACAGTTTTCAAATTTACTTACATTTTTGATGTTTTCGGTAAAGGAGTTGGGTTTTCACTGATATACTTGAAAAGCAGAACTGTTTTCGGAAAACTATGAAAAAGCTGAGCACTTTATCTCTGAGTTACTTATTTATTTAATTATTTTATGTTGTTATGAACTATTGTTGGCTATTGGTGTTGGACCCGACCTATGTTCTAGCTCGTCACTGCTTTCAACCTAAGATTAGGTTTGTTACTTACTCAGTACATGAGGTCGGTTGTACTGATACTACACTTCAGCACATTGCGTGCAAATGTTGGTTGTTGTTGCTGCTGTGCTCGATGGTTGCCGGATTTGAAGATGTACTTGCGTTCCTGTTGTAGCTTCGTCTTGTTCATGGTAGCCTTAGATTTATAAAAACTCTGTTTATGTACTTTTCAAACATAAGATGTATTTACTTCATATCAGCTTTGTAAATTATATTCTTAGAAGCTCATGATTTGTACTACCAGTCCTTGGGGAATGTATAAGATTTAGATAATTCCTTTTGTTTAATTGTCTTATTAATATTAGTGGAATTGGATAGTTATTAGTTGGTTTACCTAGCGGGTTGGATTAGGTGCCATCATGACTAGTGAATTTTGAGCCGTGACAGATATTCTCAACTTATGATTATTTATTATGCATTTCGGTATGTTTCCTACATGCCTCTTGTTCTGTGATAGTAGAGACCTCGAATTTTATGGTGTTTAGTTGGAATATGGCAAAGAGAAATAAAAGAATTAAAGAGATGATGCCAATCATGATCATGAGATGTAGTAATCTTTCAATCACCTGATTTATAATCCTGCATTACAAATCTGCAAATTGAATAGTGAGGCAATAAAGTTCTTACCTTAAATTGGTAAAATAGTTCATTTTTCATAATTAATATCCTCAACTTTGGCAAAATGGTTTATTATTCATAGATAATATCCTCAACTAACTAATACTTATTATTAACTATAAATAGTACCAATTAACTTGGCATTGTATAAGCAATTAGCCAAAAATATTAGAGCATCACTTAGTTAATCAAATATAATTACTAGTCCATGGCTACAAATTTCTCTCAGTATCTTTTCCTTTGGATTTTTGTAGCTTTTTGCTCGTATTTGGTTAGATTTTCCTCTTGCCAACCAAGCGGTTATTCACAAGCTGTTGCAACTTTTTATGAAAATCCTACTAGTCCTGGGAGTGGTAATGTCTTGAAATGTCATTTGTTTCTACTCTCGTTTTTCATAAGACTTATGTAGTATGCCTACTAGATTAAAATTAAATGAAACCTGCTTTAGATTACAAATACAACTTTGAAGGCAAATTTTAATAGTTCAGTTGTTGTCTAGCTATCTGAATTTTACTTTGTTGGTAAGGGTTTGATTTTCTCTTGGAATACCTTTATCAATTTTCTCTTCCCTTCCCCTACATAATAAAAAATATTATACGAATAGAATTTTGTAGACAAATGTTCATTGAAATGGCTTGACCAATATAGTCTTGATTTTACATACTTTATTAATGATTCTAGGGCAAAATGATTGAAAAACAGAAATTATTCTTACTATTCTGTTCTAGGTGGAGCATGTGGGCTTGAAAATGACGTAGCAAGTGCTCCCTACAATGCAATGATTACGGCGGGAAATCAAGCTCTTTTTAAGCAAAGCTCTGGATGTGGTGCATGCTACCAGGTAAACACATTTTATGTGGCATTGAATTTCCTTTGTTAGAAAGTTATATAACGTAAATTGGGTAAAACAACAACAACAACCCAGTAAACTCTCATAAGTGGGATCTGGGGAGGGTAGTGTGTATGCAGACCTTACCCCTACCCGAGGAGATAGAGAACGTAAATTGGGTATAATATATATATATATATATATATATATATATAAAATATTTTTTAATTGGGTAAAAAATATAAAATATATAAAATTTTAAATCTCCTTATAAGAGAAAATATAGGTACAAATTCCGAATGTAATATTTTTAGATCTCTCTGAATCCACTAGACATAATTTCTAATTCCGTTACATCTAGTAAATCTGTAATTTTAGAATAATTGTACCTTATTTTGCATGAGATGACAAGGAAATTAAACTCTAAAACAAAAGAGAAAATGTGCATGAATATTTTAGTTTCATGCATAAATGCATAGCATCTCTATATGATCGATATTGTTTTTCAGGTGTTGTGCACCCAAGACCAAAATCCGCATTGTTCAGGTAATCCAATAACAGTAACCCTTACAGACGAGTGCCCAGGAGCATGCAATAATGATCCGGTTCACTTTGATATAAGTGGAATTGCCTTTGGAAAATTGGCAAAGTCTGGTGAAGCTTCACAATTATACAATGCAGGAAGAATCTCGATTTTTTACCAAAGGTGAGTTTGTTCTACAAAAACTAAAAGTTACTTTTTTTGTTCCATCTTATATGGAGGTTTTATATTTATTTATTTGGGTTGGGGG